CCAAATGCCAGGCACTCTGAAACGGGGTGTGGACATTCAAATCAGTGTCTAAACTAGGAGGCACCCAGCCTCAACTTTTAAGTGCATTTTTCGTGAACTTTCTGGAATTCTCTCATGAAAGATATGCCCATTTGTTTCTAAAACTGATTGCATTTATTTACTTTATTTGAAAAGTAGGGACACACACACACACACACAAATGAGGGAGAGAGAGAAGTATTTTTCATCTACTGTTCACTCCAAAAAAGCCTGCAATAGGTAGTCACCCGGAGCCAGGAACTCCATCTGGAGCCCCCGACATAGGTGGCAGGGGCCCAACCTCATCCTTTACTTCCAGAGAGTACAAATCAGCAGGAAAGTGGAGCAGGGAGTTGAACCCTGAGACTGTAACATAGGATGCAGACGTTTTAATTGACACCTGGTATGCCCATTTCACAGGTGAGAAAACTGAGCTCAGCATGCATGAACTTGTCCAGCATCTCACCACCACCAAGGTTCAACTTCACGGCAGAGCACTCCAAGGCAGAGAACCATGCTGCCAGGCCCTGCACTGCTCCATCCTACTGTAACCGTCTGTGGGGCAGCCCCTGGATCAGGCTGAATCTCAAGGACATGCTAGGACACTCATGCAGATGGGTGAAAGGAAGAACACTGTCTCCCAGCAACCGCACCATGTCAGCTGGCAGGGTTGGCCATCAGGTCCTACTGACAACTTTTCAAAAGGCTGATGGGCGGAAAGAGGACAACCCAGGCAGTCCCGCAACTTTGAGGGTTATTGGGCATGCTGGCACACTGGTGTGAGAAAAGGGGACCCAACCATGCTTGCTGCTCAACAGCCACCCAGAAGTGCCGACACTCCCTCCTCTCTCCCCTGTCCCGCCCTCCTTCCTTAGCTCAATTTCTTACCCTGTTTGGAGTCCAGGGAAACCAACATCTTGAAGGTATTACCATTCATGGAAAAACACATTACCTCCCAAGGGGCAGACACAAAGCCCTGGGGACTTAACTCCCCAGAATCCTGAGCCCCTGGGGCTGTGTGGCTTCAGTATGGACCCAGACCACGGAGCTGGGTGCACCCATGAGCAATTTCCTTTTTCTGCACTCACAAACCTTCCTGAGGTTCCCCACCCCCTCACATTCAGCCATCTGCTCCAGGCCGCACAGGGATAAAAGGTGGCTGAGCCAGAAGAGTAGCAGGCAGTGTCCACGTCCAGGGCTGCCTCCCAGCCAGCTCCATATGGGAGCCCACAGACACCTTCCTTCGAACAAAGGGACATGTCCCACACTGCCTGCCTTGGAGCCATTCATCACTGGCCAGCCGCTCAGAGCAACTGCTCAGAGTGACTGCCCTCAGAGCCTGGAAGAAACTTGTCAGTATTTGTTCCTTCGTGTAGAGAGAGGCAGCAAGCAAGCTGGAGGCTGTGGGCACCAGGCAGTCCTGGCTCTTTTACTGGCACTGAAGAGAAGAAACTGGACCCACAAAGATGTCACTTGAGGTACCTGTATTCCATACTGGGTTCAAGTCTGATTTCAGCTTTCTGCTCATTGCACCCAGGCAATGGTTTAAGTTCATGGGTCCCCTACACTCAGGTGGGAGTTTCTGATGGAATTCTTGGCTCTCGGCCTAGCCTACTCTTGGCTGTTGAGAACATCTGAAGAGTGAAACAGCAAATGGGAGGTCTCTTTCTATCTCCATTTCTCACTTTCTCTCTGACTTGCAAATAAATGACAGAGATGGGCTATCCACTGGTTCACTCCCCAGATGCCTGGAATAGCTGAGGATGGGCTAAGTCAAAGCCAGGTTGCTGGAACTCATTGCAAGTCACTGAGTGGCAGGGACTCCATCATCTGCTGCCATCTATGATGTGTATCAGCAGGAAGCTGGATTGGAAGTGGAGGAGCTGGAGTCGAGGCTTCTACCAGGCCTTCCGATATAACAGGTGGGCAAACCAACTACTATGCCAAAAGCACAAATAAAGGTTAAAATAAGGTTAAGCCTTAAAATAAAGTTTTGTTGTTGTTGTTGCTTTTTTCAAAGAGATCTGTTAATTTTTATTGGAAAGGCAGATATTCAGAGAGGAGGAGAGACAGAGAGGAAGATCTTCCATCCGATGATTCACTCCCCAAGTGAGCACAACGGCCTGAGCTGAGATGATCCTAAGCCAGGAACCCGGAACCTCCTCCAGGTCCCCCAAGTGAGTGCAGGGTCCCAACACCTTGGGTCATCCTTGACCGCTTTCCCAGGCTACAAGCAGGTCTGCCAGGATTAGAGCCAGTGCCCATATGGGATCCCAGCACTTGCAAGGCAAGGACTTTAGCTGCTAGGCTACCTTGCCAGGCCCTGTTGTTCCTTTTTTAAAAATGAACATGGACATCCCCAAAGGCTCAGTTTACTCCTCCATGAAATGGAATAAAAATGGTCTCTGTTCCCAGGTTCACTGTGATGAATAAACAGGATAAAACTCTAAAAACGCTGCTGGTTCCCACTGGCTGCTCCACTTTCCATCCAGCTCCCTGCTAACAACCCAGGGAAGCAGGGGAAGACGACTTGAGTGCTTAGGCCTCTGTACCCATGTGGGAGACCCAGATGAAGCTCCTGCCTCCTGGCTTTGGATCGGCCTAACTGGCTATTGTGGCCATCTGGGAAGTGAATCAGAAGATGAAAGATCTCTCTCTCTCTCTGTGTCTCTCTCTCTGTGTAACTCTGACCTTCAAATAGATAAATCTTTTCTAAGAAAGAGCGATGATTCTCGGCCATGACTCCCACGCCAGCCTAGGCTGCCACCACCCTGACACATGGATAGTTCAGCTTACACGGCAATGCACGCAGATTAAACAACTGTGGCAGAATGTGTGTGGGACTGGCGGTTAGAACAGACATTATTCTCATCACGAGTGGTCACACAGCACGGGCTTGCCCTTCTCCACTCAGAAAAGTACATTAGCACGAAGGTAAGCAGGAGTGAGCACATCATTGAAATTACACTGAAATTATCTTGCCAGATTTTTTAAAGTTTCTTTATTTGAAAAGCAGAGTTACAGAGAAGGAGGAACACAGAGAGAGACTGAGAGCTCCCATCCTCTGATTTATTCTTCAGATGGCAAGGGCCGTGGCCAGGTTCAAAGCCAGCAGCCAGGAGCTCCCTGCAGCCTCTCACCTGGGTGTAGGGAGCCAAGCACCTGGGCCATCCCCAGTGCTTTTCCAGGTACGTTAGCAGAGCGCCGGACAGGAAGTGGGACAGCAGGACTCAAGCTGGTGCCCGTGTGGGATACTGACAATGCAGGTGGCAGCTTTATACACTCTGCCATAATACTGCCCCTAAATAAACCTTTTAAAAAATATGGTGGGATTGGAGTTGACATGGTACATTGGGTTAAGCTGCTGCTTGTGACACCACCATCCCTTATGGGTGCTGGTTCGAGTCCCTGCTTTTCTGCTTCCAATCCAGCTCCCTTCAAAGTTGCAGGAGAAACCTTGGAAGATGGTCCAAGTGCCGACCACCCACATGGGAGACCTGGATAGGGTTCCTGGCTTCAGCCCGGCCCAGCCCTTGCAACTGTGGTCATCTGGGAAGTAACCAGCAGCAGAAGTGGTTTCTCTCTGTGTTTTCCCCTGTCTTATTCATGTATTGATTTGAAAGGTAGCTCCACAGAGAGAAGAGGAAGAAGAAGAGAGCCACATGGACAATTAGACATCGCCCATGTGCTGCCTGAGACTCCAACCAGGTCTCCCACATTAGTGGCAAAGGATCCAAGTACTTGGGCCATCTTCCAGTGCCTTCCCAGGCACGTTAGCAGGAAGAGGGTCAGAAACAGAGCAGCAGGAACTGAACTGGCTCTCTGGTACGGGATGCTGGAGTCACAAACAGCAGCGTAAGCCACTGCACCACAACTCCAACCAACCCTGTTTCGTTCATGTTTATTAATTTTCACCTACTTAAAAGAGTGACGAGAGAGAGAGAGAGAGAGAGAGAGAGAGAGAGTGTATGTGTGTGTGTGTGTGTGTGGAGAGGGCTAGAGAGCTCTTGCATTGCTGGTCTTATACCACAAAATGCCTGCAATATCCAGGATTGGGCCAGGACAAACCCAGAGCCAGGGATTCCATTCAGCTCTCCCATTTAGCGAGCAGGAACCCAAGCACTTGAGCCATCATCTGCTGCCTTCCGGGATGCACAGTAACAGGAAGCTGGATTAGAAGCAGAGCTACTCTCATGTTGCATCCCAAATGGCTGCTTAATGTACTGTCCCACAACGCCCCTACTCCAGGACTTTGAAAATCAACATAGAATTAAAAATTGCTTGTAGCTAAAACGGTTATAGGGTCTGTTGCAGTAGCCTAGTGGCTAAAATCCTTGCCTTGCATGCACCAGGATCCCATATCAGTGCTGGTTTATATTTGGCTGCTCCACTTCCCAACCGGCTCCCTGCTTGTGGCCTGGGAAAGCAGTCGAGGATGGTTCAAAGCCTCGGGATCCTGCGCCCATGTGTGAGACCCAGAAGCTCCTGGCTCCTCGCTTTGGATGGGCTCAGCTCTGTTCGTTGTGGTCATTTGGGGAGTGAACCAGCAGATGAAAGACCTTTCTCTCTGTCTCTCCTCTCTGCCAATCTGCTTTTCCAATAAAAATAATAAATAAATCCTTAAAAATATTTTATAAGTCATCATTAAAGACTGGCAAGTGTTTAGGCACAGGAATCCTACTCAGGGGGCAGGCCGACTCACAGCAGGTATGAGAGGCACAGGGAAACTGAGGGTGCACACCAAGGGGTCCAGTCACCCCCTCTTCCCGGAGTGTGCGGGTACATTCCTGTCCAATCACATCCAAACAGTTATCAGTTACTCCCACCACCAATCACCAGTTATTGCCAAGGGCGTCTCTATGGCCCCCTGCTGGGCAAGGAATGCTCCAGAAACCACATTCCCTGGGACTGCCCCCTCCCGTTCACTGGCAGGCCACAGGATCACAGCTCACACAAGGGGGAGGACAAGGACGTGCACTTACTTGCAGCCTGGATGCGGGCTTTGCGACTGACCACCAGCCCGAAGCGGTTCTGAGCCACGCACTCATAGTCGCCCTCATCCGAGGGGCTGCCGCCTCGCTCCAGCCGGAAGTGGCGGATCATCAGGGACCCATTGCCAAGCAAGGTGGAGTGGGGGCTGTCGGGCAGCTCCACCCCGTTCTTCCTCCAGGTGACTCGTACTGGAGGGGTCCCCTCCACCTGGCAGCCCAGCACCACAGGCTGCCCAGGCACTGCCACTTCATCACTGGGCTCCATAGCAAACGCTAGTTCTGCAGAGTGGTCGAGACCTGCATGCAGGCAGGGGTGAGAGATGTGAAGAAAAGGGGGTCAGCATGGAATGAGCAGCCAGGAGGAAGTCCCTCTCACCGCCCCCTCCCCGGCCGAGTCCTCAGGCTTCAAGCCACTTGCTGACATCCTGCTGCTTTTTGGTAGTTAAACCAACAGCAGGGCAATGGCTGGGGTGTGTGGTCCCAGTCTCCAGGCTGCGCCTCTTTTGAGCAACCCTAGAATGCTCTGGGCATGGTGAGGAGCGATAAGGAGTGGCCACCTCCAACTCTAATTCCACAAATCTCAGGGAGAAACGGTTCCTGAAAGCTTTACATTCAGATGGACTAGGGAGGGGAGGGAGGAGTTGAGAGGAGGAAGCTGAGTTGAGGAAACAGGGCACTCCACCAGCTCCCACCCGGATCCCCCAACCCCGGGCGCCAAACCAAGTCATCAACTTGCCGGGCCAGTAACAACCTTCATCCCCGCAGGAGGGACGAACTCGGCCACAGACCCCTTCCCTGTCTTTCCAAGGAGTCAGCGACCCCGCAGCCCGTCCCTCCCAGCCGGGGACACTGGCGCGAGCGGAAGGGGAGGGAGGAGGAGCAGCCACGCCGGGGCGTCCCCACCCCAGGTAGTGTCTTAAGGCGTCTAAAAAGTACCGGTCTTCCAGCGTCCCCCAGCGCGCCCTTTCAGTCGCCAGAGCCCCCAGCCCCACCCGTTACCCGCCTCCGGGCCGAAGTTTGTCCGGGATGCCAACAGCCCAGATCGGGTCTGCAGGACCTTCGGCGTGGGAGATGGGGATAGGGGCTGGATCCGTACCCCTCTCCGGGGAACGGAGGCCCAAAGCAGCCACCACCATTGAGGTGATGGAGGTGGGCGAGCCCTGGGCAGTGGAGCCCACCGGGCCCGTGAGCCTGGGTCAGGGTCTCCCCGCGGGAGCACTCTCCGGGAAGGGCGGGGACCGGGGTATCCCCGCCACTCGCTGGCGCTGGATCTCGGGCGCCTCTCCTCCCGGTCCCTGCTCCCGGATCCCGTCCCCAGCCGCCCCCTTCCCACGCGCTGCCCGTGGTAGTCTTCCCTCCCTTCTCCTAACGCCAACTCCTTCTCCTCGAAAAGTCTTCTTCCTCCTCCTCCTCGGACTCTCCCGCGCGCTCGCTAACTAGGTCGGCTTAGCACAGCAGATCAGGTCCGGGTCCCCAAGCCGGTCAGCAGTCTTCTGACTCGGTCGCCTGGACTTCTTCGGGTCCACCGCCAGGTTCCGCGCACCCAACTTACGCCCTCCGTTGGGGACCAGCCGCATGGAGTCCCCTGGTTCGTTTCCCTCTGTCCCCAAGCCCAGTGCACCCAGCAGCTCTTGCCTCACCGCACTCCTGGCTCCTCCGGCCGGGTTCTGGGTCCTGCCCTGAGTCCTGTGCTGAGTCCCGGAGTTACAGTGCACCCAGCCCTGGCCTCTCCATCCTCAGCATCCCCCCTTCCGCCTCCGGCCGCCCAGCCTCACCACTTGTCCCCGTCCCGCTTCCCTTCGTCCCACTCTGTCCCTCCCGCGTGGGATCGGTCCTCAGGTCGGCATCCCACTCTCTTCCCCTAGCGCTCGCGGACGCCCCTCTCGCTCTTCCTCGGGCTCTATCCGGAGCTGCCCCGGCCGCGGCCACCCTGGCTCACCCTTGCTCGGCGCGGGCAGCAGCAATAGCAGCAGTAGCAGCAGCGGCGGCGGCTTCAGCAGCAGCCGGGGCCAGCGCGGCACTGGCGGGCGGCGAGGGGACGCGGCGCGCGGTGCAGCCATGGGGCTGTGGGTCCTCTTCGTTTCCGCGACGCGCTGCTCCCGGGCCTCGAGCAAGCTCACAGTGTCCCGCGGGGCCGGTGCCAAGGCCGGGGCCTGGGCTCCGGCCGGGGCCGAGCCCGAGCAGCGGGAGACTGGGTCTGCATGCCTGTCTAGAAGCTCGAGGCGCACAGGGGGAGCGCTGCTTGCGCCATCTTGCACCCACCCTGGCGATCTGTCAGCCTCGCCCGGGGTGCGCGCTCAGCACTCGCACCGCCCGCGCCGCCCCGCCCTCCTCCTCTGCCCGCCGCCCCCCTCTCCTCCCCTCCCAGTCCCCTCCCCCCAGTCCCTCTCCCCGGAGGCCCGAGTCTGAGGAACAAAAGAGCCGGTGAGCGCTTTAAGCGGCCGGACATTCCCGGCTGTGCGGCGGACGCGCCCCCTGCGCTTTGAACTGTGGCTAGAGCGGTCGGCGCCGTCCGGGGCTGCCCGGGACCCCTCCCACCAGCCCCAGACTCAGGGTAGGGGTGAGGGGTCCAAGGCAGTGAATCTCTACTGCGGAAAAACGCGCACAGCTGCGGGGTTTGTTCTGAGCCACTCGGCCCGCCGCGCCCTCCTCCCTGGTGCCCCGGTGCAGGTTTCAGAGATCGTTACCTAAAAGCTGAACAGAGTTGTTGAAGACTCTACGGGCTTCCTACACTCAAATGCCAGGGCGTTCAGCTGCAAGATTTGCCTTTTCAGGCTGAGGGGACCTGTCGCTGGCCAGGGCTGGGTTGCGCTTGGCTCGCTGAGAATGATGGAGGAGCCCAGGTCCCGCTCCCGGGTCCACCTGCTGCGTGACCCAGCCAACCCCTGGTAGTCACAAGCTCAAACAAGAGGAGGATCTCTATCCCTGGCTGCACCCTGGAGACCTTTAACCGGCCCACGTGGCCTGGTCCCTGGAAAAGCCCCTTAAAGTTAGCGTCCCACTGGCCCATCCTTGCCCCAGAAATCGTCCATGTTTCCAGAGGAAAAGGCTATGGTGAGTAGGTTTGTGTCTTAAGAGACATCTATCCGCGTGGACCCCAGCTCTTGCATCTTGGTCATTCGGTGTGACTCTAAGGCTAGCACCATGTGATAGGATGGTGAGCCCATGTCTGCAGCAGCTGCTGAGTTCTGGGAGGTGGCCCTCTGGAGGTGGTAACTTCAGCTCTTGGCTCCTCAGGCTTGGTCCTGGCTAGGGCTTTGATCCCAGCTCTGGAAGTTTGGGAGTAGCAGCAGGAAAGCTATAATCCAAACCCAGGTTTACATCAGACAGCTTGTGGATGGGCCTGGTCATTAATGATGGAGTTTGCACACAGCCCAAGGGCTCCTTACACTGCTGGGACAGCTGAAAGCCAAGCATGGCAGAGCGTGAGAGCCACAGAAGGTGGTGGAGAAATTGATGGTCAAGGGTCCCAGTACACTAAAGCCACTTCGCACCCACTCATCCCAGTATACTTCCTGGTGGGGCTGTGGAGGCCACAGGTAAGGCGACAGATGCCTGGCCCCCAGGTCCTGGCACTCCTCTCTGCCAAGGCTGGAATTCTCCACAAGGGCTTTTCCAGCTAGTGCTGACTCTGGCAAGGTCAAGGCTGTCCTGAATCACTGTTGCTTTAAATTCATTTTGACAAGTGTTTAACTTTTCTTTATCACAACCCTTGACTGATACGCAAACGATGGCTCTCTTGCCGCATGCAAGTCATGTGATATCTGTCTGTAGGACCTGTCAATTAACTCTGGGTCTACCCCTCACCCTCTGCCCAGTCACTTTGGGGGTGATCCTGCACAGGGCAGCACCCTGGCTCTTGGTCCCCTCCAAAAGAAAGAGCATAATCCAGGTTGGTTGAAGAACGCAACACAGCTGCCAGGCTGTGATCTGGGGTGAGTGTAGTGTGGAATTTGTTGAGCCCCTGCATGGTGAAAGGACCCCAATATCTGTGAAGGTGAAGGTGAACATGTAGAGTCTGACCCCTGGACAGAGCGCGCAGAATAGGAAGTGCAGCCAGGAGTAATTTAAGAGAGAGAGAGATTGATTTATATTTGGGGCCTTTCTCTTGGCTCAGTGAACTAAACCTCCCTCTGTACCGCCAAGATCTCACAAGGGCAGCTCAACTAACTTCACCCACAAACATCAGCATCCCATACGGGTGTACTAATTTGTGTCCTTGCTGCTCCACTTCCCATCCACCTCCCTGCTTGTGGCCTGGGAAAGCAATGGAGGATGGAGCAAAGCCTTGGGACCCTGCAATTGCATGGGAGACTTGGAACAAGTTTCTGACACTATACTTTGGATTGGTGAGGCTCTGGTTATTACAGCCATTTGGAGAGTGAACCAGCAAATGTTCTGTAAATCTGCCTTCCCAATACAAATAAATCTAAAAAAAAAAAAAAAAGATTAATTTTTATTGGAAAGGCAGATCAGATTTACAGAGAGGAAAGACAGAGAGGAAGATCCTCCATCCACTGATTCACTCCCCGGATGGCCGCAATGGCCAGAGCTGAGTCCATCCAAAGCCAGGAGCCAAGAACTTCTTCCGGATCTCCCATGCAGGGTCCCAAGGCTTTGGGCCATTTTTGACTACTTTCCCAGGCCACAAGCAGGGAGCTGGATGGGAAGGGGGGCATCAGGACACAAACCAGTGCCCATGTGGAATCCCAGCACAAGCAAGGTGAGGACTTTAGTCACTGGGTTACTGTTCCAGTATATATATATTGTGCTTGGGGCTGGCACAATGGTTCAATTGGTTACTCTTCCCTCTTGCAAGTGCTGATACCCAGCACCTCCACTTGCCATCCGGCTCCTTGCTTGTGGCCTGGGCGAGCAAAGGAGGGTAACCCAAAGCCTTGGGATCCTGCAGCCATGTGGGAAACCTAGAGGAAGCTCCTGACTCCTGATTGGCTCAGTTCTGGCCATTGCAGCCACTTGGGGAGCAAACCAGCAGAGGCGTGATATTTCTCTCTCCTCCTCTCTGTAAATCTCTTTCTCCAATAAAATAAATAAGTCTTCAAAGGAATGTTTCCTGTCCTGGTAGAAGTTAAACTATGTAGGGTACAAAGGCTGAGGAAGTCCCCACCACTGGCTCTGCAGAGAATCACACACACACAAAATCTGGAAAACAGTTTATTCATTAGAGGAAATGATACATGAGCAATGCCTTAGCTTAACACTAAAGAATATAATTGTAAGGAGGGAGCAAAAAAAAAAATGCTGGGGAAAATAATTAAATAAAATAACACACAAACAGAGATAAATGAGCAAGTACCGATTACGCTTGTCATGCATGGGAAAAAGGAAGATTATAAAACGAGACTCAAAAAAGTAAGGCCTCCATGGCAGGTGGATGAAGGGCTTAATGCCCTGTAAGAGAGCAAGAAGTTCTTTTCTAATAAAACCACTGATACAAGTCTGACGCTTCCAAATCAGTGACAGCCCAATCCTACACACCGCTAGTGAGGAGCGGTTGCTCTCTTATCAACTCTGACTTATAGGCAGATACCAGATTTATTACTTATTTGCTTTTGAGAAACAATTTTCCACCCAACCTAATGGGTTATAAATTGTCTCATTTGCAGCTATTTAATTTAAACCAGAACCTTGGTACCTGTTAAACAAGAACATGAAAAATGACTATGTGCTGTAATGCTCAGAGCCTGCTGTTAAAACAGCCACTTAATTCAGGGCCATTTTTTTTTCTTTTTTTAGGAAAAAAAAAAAAAGAATCAAACCAGCAAAAAATAAAAATGAAGCTTCTGACCTTCAAAGCAATGAGGAAAGATACACTGTGCTGTTCGCCGGGCGACACTGAAGGCTGCCGAAATGGAACAAGTGACAATTCTGTCTTTAACGAGATACAAGTGCAACATGAATAATCCGTAGTGTTATCCTAGGCTGGCTGCGGCGGGAGGAGGGCTGGGCTGGTAAAATGTAGGTGCAGATGTCAACTATGAGTGACATCCGAGGCTGAGTGCAATAAACACGGGTGCTCTAGGGTTCGGAGGAAGCTCCACTCTGCCCAAGACATTTCACCTTTTTTTTTTTTTTTTTAAGAAAAAAGAAAAAGGCAAGATAGACTGGATATTTCTAATTTGGCCCAGAAGCCAGAGTTAACTCTTGAAGTGCCAGTCAGTGAAAAAGACACAAGCAGAGAAGCAAAGATTGCCTCCCCCCAACCATGGTTTATATTCCTGTGAGAAGAGGAGGTGAAAAATCAAAAAATGACATAGCTGTCACAAAGCACAGAATAATCACCAAGCTTGTCCCCTGTGTGGTAGGATAACGGCAAATGACTTCAGGATTCAGTTGAAAGGGGACACAAAAGGAAATGAGCCAACCACCCTTTTTCTGTGCAAAGGCATCCCTTTTGGAACTCAGGATGGAGCCGCAGGTGTACAGGCAGGAAGCTTTCCCCTCCTTCATCCTCAGCTGGGAAGCCATCTCCTAGTGTGGGAGGAAGTTGTGGCATGCTAAGCTTCGGGGGTCACAGCCTCCTTTTCTGTCTTAAAAAGAAGTCTCTCCCCCATGTGACTTGGGTCCCTTATCTCTCCCTACCCTGACCCCAAAGGGAAAGATGCCAGGGCAGCTGGCAAGTCTTCCCCAGCCCTGTGCCTGGGTCTGTCCAGGCCAAGGAGGGTGTGCCAGGGGAGGTCCCCAGCAGACACAGCAGCCCAGCCGTGGTCTTGAAGCGGATGTGAGGTAGCCATGTTGTTAGGGAAAAGCAGATGACAAGGTCAGAGGGAAGTATGAGAGACAGCCAAAGTCTAGGCTGGGGCTGGGATATGTCCAGACAGTGAGGACCACAGAAGTGGGGTAGGGGGTGGGGAGGCAGGCAGTAAAGGGCAATGGGAGCAAGAGAAGCAGTGTTTCCAAACCAGGCACTTCCCGAATCACAAAAACTGAGTGGCAGGTAGGGTGGCTGCAGCCCTCGGAGTGTCGGGGTCCCAGCCCAACCAGGCAGGAGAGCTGGCTTGTCATTGTCCTTCAGCCAGGGCCAGGAGACACTCTCAGA